GTAGAAGGGGACAAGTGTGACCGAACTACGGATGGTGAGAACATTTTGGATCATTTAGAACCAATTGTGAAATGTGCTGACAAAATGAGTTATTTCTCAGGATCCAAGAATGGAGATATCGGCTGAAAATCCACACTGGGGTCAGATTTATAGATGTTCAATTGATGCCATTTTGTTCAAGTTTACTGTGTCTTTTACTATTCCATGCTCACAAACTGTACAAACTTCACCTATCAAGTTGTTGTATCAATTTCCATAATGCTCAAATCCGAGAAGTAACTCATTTTGTCAGCACATCTCACAATTATCGTTTGACGTATTATCATTTTCGTAGAAGGGGACAAGTGTGACCGACCTACGGATGGTGAGAACATTTTGGATCTTTTAGAACCAATTATCGTCTGACGTATTATCATTTTGATGCACACAATATGGTTTCTTAGGAGACTGCGGAGAATATCGTGGAAGGAAAAGAAATCAAATGAGGTAGTTCTTGATGAAGCCCATGAGGGACGCTCACTGTTAAAAACAACCAGGAAACGACAACAAACGCAGTTTTTGGGACACCTGAATAGACATAACGGTCTTGAACATTTAGCTCTCACTGGCAAAATTGAAGGCAAATGTGGAAGGGGTAGGCCCTGAGCAACCTACTTAGGGAACCTAGACAAATGGGTAGTGGGGAAAGATCAGGGAAACGTTGCTTTTTTTTTAGAGCATCCGAGCAAAGGAATGAATGGAGAACCATGATCGCCGATATCTGCCGCAGATCTGGCACTGGATGATGATGATGTACACAGTGACGGAAAAGATAACTGTTGAAGCTGGATCAGATGTTGCGTCTGTGGGAACCCTCTTTCTTCGTTCCCCTTATAGATCTCAGGGCTAGTTGACTACTGTATCTTCTTTTTTCTCCTTTTTTTCTGTAACCAGTGTTACTTACTGAAGTTTCTTGAGGCCATTCTCAAAGGGGGGACGTCAACATGTTCTTATGCACAGCTGAATTGTAAATGGGCTGATTCATCAATGTCATGCTTATATAACTTCAGTGCTTGAACTGCAACAGGGAACTGCTGCTTTATCTTTCCTAATCTTTACTATCGTCATTTTCCTCTACTTCTTTTGTATGTTTGTGACAGTCTAGTGACCCGATATTTCCGGGGTGCCTTGATAGCAAGGAGATTAAAAGTTCTAAACTCCTTGCTTGATAGTCGAAGCAGACTTTGTTCTGTTGAAGCTAGAGAGGTGAGCAGAGTAAACCTGATTCTCTGTAAAGACTTCTCTGTTGACATCCACTCCTTGGCGCTCGTATGGCCTTATGCAGTTGCGAGGGCCGTAAAAACTCTACTAAAACTAAACTATAAATTTATTTTTCTGTAGGCAAGACATGTAATTGTTTAAGCAAGAAAAAATATGAGTTTTACAGAGTGAGTAAACAATTTTGCACCAAGGCATACTTTTTCTTGCAATGGTTTCAAAATAAAATATATTCATGGGATTAACGTGTTTAGCATCATGTATAAGACAACCATTCCTCCCTCCACTCTAGTATGACGTTGACGTGTATTCCAATAAGGGGACTGAAACTGAAAGTACCAAGTTAGAGAAAGGAGTAATAAGTAAAGTCAGGCAAGCATTTTCTGGCTTATGCGACCATTTAAAAGCGCAATTGATTACTTTTTAAACAACACGTTCCATGTATAAACGTCTGACTGCCTTACGCTGACAAAACGCCCTTTTCTTATTCTCAGCAGTTTCAAGAAATCAACGATTTTGTGTTTTCTAATAGTATCTGTAGAGCTCAGGGAATGACATTCTCTTCAGGATGCAAGATCAACCGTTGATGCACTGTGCAAAATAATTTATATGTAAGAAAACCGAAAATCGTTGATTTCTCGAAACTGCTGTGAATAAGAAAAAGGCGTTTTGAGAGAGCACGGCATATCAACCAATAGATTAATGTCTGTCCCCGTGGTTTTATGCACTCCACACAATTTAGCAAAATTCGATCATTTTTTTCATAATTTCTGATTATTTTCCTTTATCATTCTTTGTTAAAATCAACAGAATCGCCTACATTCACATTTTTGCGCTCATTTTGCATAATTTCTGAATTTTTCTTGCATAAAACGACGGGGACAGTAATGTGGAACCTTCGAGAGGAAAAGAGTTTCCCACTTGGTGTTCCTATCATGCTTAAAAAACTTTTAAAAACTCATATTTTGTGTGTGTAGGCAACTTCGTTCCTGCCGTCGATGTCCTCAAACTGGAGCCCCAGGGCGGAGCGTGTGCATTGACCTCTGACCTTTGGACGGAAGCGGCGCCGTTTGACGGGTCAGGCTATGTCCTGTGTGACGTGAGCAATCCTGTGGTCGTGACCTTTGAACCCCTGCAAGGCGCCATGGTACAGAGAGCACTGCAGTGGTGAGTATTTCTTTACTCCCTTATTTCTTTTTAACTTTTCCTGTAGTTGGACGGTATTGCTTCTCGGACTTTACTGTGGTTGAACACTCCGTCTTCTACTTGTTGTTGTTGTTGTTGTTCTTCTTCTTCTTCTTCTTCTTCTTCTTCTTCTTCTTCTTCTTCTTCTTCTTCTTTGAGTCAGAGATGACACCTCCAGGTATCCAGGTATGTTATATTATTCTGTCCGCTTGAGTTGCTCTCGTTTCAAACGAGGTTTCTTGTGGTGAGTGTATGGTACTGGCCTGCAGTGGTGAGTGCATGGTATTGTGGCGAGTACATTGTAAGCTACTGGCCTGCAGTAGTGAGTTGTGCATGGTGAGTACATGGTATTGTGGTGAGTATATGGTATTGTGGTGAGTTCGTGGTATAGTGGTGAGTACATGGCAAGCTATTGGCCTGCTGTGGTGAGTACATGGTATTGTGGTGAGTACATGGTAAGCTATTGGCCTGCAGTGGTGAGTACATGGGATTGTGGAGAATTCATGATATTGTGGCGAGTACATGGAAAGCTACTGGCCTGCAGTAGTGAGTTGTGCATAGTGAGTACATGGTATTGGCCTGCAGTGGTGAAAATGGAATATATTTAACGCCCCTATCAACACTGTTTGGTTATTTAGGTTTTACATCCATCTCTGAAAGTGCCTTTCCCAAGTATACAATGTTGGACCCCTAACCCACAGTCTCACGATTACGAGTCCGGGAGCCTGAGCACTAGGCTACTGATGCTAAGGACTGCAGTGGTGGATAGCCTACAGGATTATTGTATCATTGTCGTTGTTCGTGATGTTTTGTCTTCAGTCCCAAGAAAAGAAAGTGAGAGTTAAAGAGACTATATAGTTATACATACTTCATAAGATATTATTTGATGTCATTATTGCAGTTATGATCATAATTATTATCATGATGATGATTATTTTTATTGTTGATATAATTTTTATTTTATTTTTGTTGTTGTTGTTGTTGTTGTTGTTGTCTTCAAAACTCCATTTTTCTACTTTTTGTTGCTCAACAGGCAGTATTACGTGGCTGTACGCTACAGCACCGTGACCCCTGACCTCAAAGGTGTGGTCAGTGTGCAGGTGACGGGCAACACAGCAGCTGATCTGTCACAGCTGAACACCCGTCTGGGCGTGGCGGTCACCCCGGGCTGTCCACTCCCCCAGGGGCCGGCCGGAGAGGTGGAGCTGGACTTTGTGCCAGGTCAGTGCTGAGAGGTTAGAGCGCAGGGGTTAGAGGGCAGGGGTTAGAGGGGAGGGGTTAGAGGGGAGGGGTTAGAGGGGAGGGGTTAGAGGAGTTAGAGCGCAGGAGTTAGAGAGGTTAGGAGTTCGAGGGGTTGGAGGTCAGGGGCTAGAGGCGTTAGAGCGCAGGGGTGAGAGAGGTTAGAGGTCAGGAGTTCAAGGGGTTAATGGGGCAGGGGTTAGAGGAGTTAGAGGTCAAGGGTTATGGAGTAGGTAAATGTAAATATGCCCTAACCCTACCCCTGAAATTGAACTAATGTCATAATATGCTTTCAACAGCAATGAGTCTGAAAGACACACAACATATCATGTTTTGATGATGACCCGACAGAGGTCAAGACTTACAGGCTCGGTAAAAGTAAAATTGTCTCGCCCCCACCAACATCTTTTCTTCAGCACATTACCTAATTGTGTTGCAAGGGCTGTAAAACTTTTACTAAAACAAAAAACAAAAAAACAGAACGTGTCTCCACCTTTTTTGCAATACATTATGTTACTCTCAAGTGACACCTATAATCTTCAGCACTCACATTATGACCCATTTGTTTTGCAAGTTCGGTAAAACTTTTACTAAATGTTAACTTTTAATGTTTCATTTCCACATTTCCACATTTCCATCCTTGTGTCTCTGACATTGCTCTTTGCTAGGGTCGTCCACCGCTACGTTGAGTGCCACGGAAGCCCTCAACATTGACGCTCGCTGCCAGTACACCATGACACTTCGTCTCTCCAAGCAGGTGGCGCCACCCTCCACAGTACAGAGGAGAAGACGCAGAGACGTTGGCAGTCCGCCAGGTGGTTTGGCTTAAACGTTGTAGTTGTTGTTGTTGTTGTTGTTGTTGTTGTTGTTGTTGTTGTTGTTGTTGTTGTTGTTGTTGTTGTTGTTGTTGTTGTTGTTGTTGTTGTGGTTTGGCTCAAAAGTTGTTGTTGTTGTTGTAGTTGTTGTTGTAGTTGTATTGGTTTGGCTTAAAAGTTGTTGTTGTTGTTGTTGTTGTTTTTGGGATTTGGCTTAAAAATTGTTGTTGTTGTTGCTGCTGTTGTTTGTTGTTGTTGTTGTTATAGTATTTCCAGCCACCTTTGAGAATGTGTTCTTCAGCCCAGTTTCATATTTAAAAAAGGTGGAGGTCGTTGACATTTTTTCTTTTCCAGCTGTAACTTTAAATCAATCTGTGGGTGGTTGGCGGGTGCTCTGGTGTGGTTTGCTCCTTCTTTCCTATCCAACATCTATCATCCTGATCTCTCCTCCTTCTCTTTTGTGTTTGTTACTCTCTTTTAACACCTCTAATCTTCTTATATGACCTTATTGTGTTACAAGTGCTGAAAAACTCTGACTAATACTAAAACTCTAATCTTCAGCTATTATATGACCTTATTCTTATTGTGTTGCAAATGCCGTAAAACTCTTGCTAAAAAAAAAAACTAACCCAGTCTGACGTATCATATCGTGGAGATTAAATTCCTGGTAGGCATGTCGTGAAGGCAGATATATGGTGCTCTGTTGAAATGATGTACGTAACTTACCTCAATGAACCAAAGCACATGTTTGAGTGTGATAACTATTAGTACTATTACTTCTCTGTACACCAATGCAGACCAACTGAGTGTGATAATTTTTACTTCTCTGTGCTCCAAATGCGCACCTGAATGTGATAACTTTTACTTCTCTGTGCTCCAATGGCAAAAGCACAGGACTAATGGCCTTAAACACTGAATAAAATATCTATACCTACCTACCGACCTACCTACCTACTCAGATATGAGCACATAAGCTACCAATTATTTGTATTTGTGCTCACAGGAGCATACATTTAACTGTAGAGTTTCTGTTTCTGTTTTCCAGATGGTTCTATACACATTGACTCTATGTTGGTGCTGCCTGCCTTGACCAATGTTGACAAATCTGTGGCTTTCCAAGTGTATTCAGAAGCTGGTGAGTCATGTTTGCACAATGTGTCTTTATTACTTTGTTTTTATGATGCTAGATTTTGTTTTTATTATCTGTATTTGCTGGATAATGTTTGTGAAATGTGTCTTTGCTAGATTGTTAGTATGATACGTATTTGTTAGTATGATACGTATTTGTTAGTATGATACGTATTTGTTAGATTTGATTTTGTGTGTATGTTTGTCTTATTAAAGAGTGTCTGCACTATGTCTTTGCTAGATTCTGTTTGCGGGTGGTTGGCGGGTGCTCTGGTGTAGTTTGCTCCTTCTTTCCTATCAAACATTTATCGTCCTGATCTCTTCTATGACATTTCTGTGTTTGTTACTCTCTTGTAACACCTCTAATCTTTGGCACTTATATGAGATTGTGTTGCAAGTGCTGTAAAACTCTTACTAAAACTAAAGATTTTTTTGTACAATGTGTCTTTGCTAGATTATGTTTGTATTATGTGCCTTAGCTAGATTTTGTTAGTACTATGTCTTTGCTAGAGATTGTTGTATTACGTGTTTTTGCTAGAGTCTGTTGTTTGTCTGATATGTATGTCTTTGCTAGATTATTGTCCATTGTTTTCTTATTGTCTGGGACAAATGAAAGAAGAGATGAACCATAAATGGAAAGTAGTCGTATATGAAACAAGTCTTAAGGAAGATGCATACTCCCTCATGCACAGAAGAGAGAAGTTCCAGAACAGACAAACTCTGGATGCTCAGAGATGCCACGAATGGTCTAAAACCTGTTACTTTTTTCCCCTTCAGCTGGTAAAGCTGAGTCTCAGTCTCAGTCAGGATTCCCCCAATTGTCAACATTCATTAAGTGTTGACAGAATTGATCTGGTTATTGGTATGAAATTATGAAATAGAAGGGTTGGAGGAGTGAAAACATTACAACTAGAACTCTAAAGTTTATTCACAAGTCTTATTAACAGTTACCGTACCTAAGGCTCATATGGGGAAAAACCCTCAAGTACAACGCTGAAGCCGTTGTAGAAATTTTAAAAAATTAAAAAATCATTGGCAGCCCAAGAACGCACTTTAACCCTTCCAGCCCCAGCCATTTTGTGCACTTCCTTACCCCAGTCCCAGCCAATACCGCGGTATTTCAGAGAAACTGGCATGCATTCTAAAAAGTGATCTAGTATCTTTGTAATGAGGTTTAGGTAATAACATAGAACAGTGTTCAAAGGTAAATGAACGAATATTATGAAAATTACAGTTTAATTAGGTTCGCTAATTTAGAAAAATGCGCAAAATTGCCCCTACCCCCCGAAACTGAGAATATACGCTGTTGTAATGGTGGGAGGTACAAGCTCTGCTGAAAATATACACGCTTGGGGCTGGAAGGGTTAACTTAAAAAATTCATAGAGGTTTATCAACCATTCAGCTATCATATATATGGTGACTCCCTTCAGTATTTACTTCAACGCAGTGCGTCCTTTCATTGTTTAATTATGTTTAGTGTGCCTGGTTTAGTCGGCGACTAAAGTTGCCAGCGGTTGTAAGCGCATACTACTGCATACTGTAAGTGTTAAACCTTGTGCAATGCAACTTTTGATATTTTCTGTAAAAAGCAGTATTATGCTCTGGCTCCTGCTGTGGCTGTTAAATCTTTACTGTTGTTTACTTTCAAATTGTGTTATTTTTGCTTGTGTTGAAGCTATGTTCCAAACTAGTACTAGTGCAAGTGATCACACTGCATTTTGCTTCATAATCCACTTGTTTTTACTATTATTAAATTATTATATATTGAGTAATAATGTTTATTGTGTTTACTCATACTAACAAAGCGGGTTCTCGTGGCCTATAGGTTTTAAAGGTGTTTGCCTCTCATTCATAGGTCCTGGGTTCAAATCCGGGAAGCGATTAAAAAAAATTCTTCTCTAAATTTATTGTCTCCTTTCACCTCCATTCCTGCTCTTTAGCAATGTTCTGTCGTCTGCTCTCGTTTCACTTTCTACCCTCACCCCCTCACCTCTTTTTGTCCTCTCCTCTGGTCTTCTGCAGCCTTTCAACTGCTGCTCTTTGGCTCCTTCTTACTGCTGTCTTTTAGCCACACCCCTGACCTAGCCTTCTTGGACAAGGGCAACAAATCTGGGAGGTCCTGTGTGCAAGTTGTGTTAAAGATCCGTTGGCGGTCTAAAATTGATAAGAGGAGTTTTCAGCCACCACCTGGGCAAAATTCAAAATTTCCTACCAACTGAAAATGTTTAATGTGTCCTGCGTGCTCATATGACCTCATGCAGTTGCGAGCGCCATAAAACACTTACCAAAAGAACAAAAAAAACCTAACAAACAAACAAACATTGTGGGGGATCTGTCACAACTGTCTCGGTCCATTTCGTCCCCAGCCAACAGCACGGTCATCACAGATGAGTACAGAGACTGTCTGCAGAAAGTTGCCACTCTCAAGTCCAGGGACCTCACTCTCTCTCTCCCTCCGTGCGAACCTTTGCTGTTTTCTGTCGCAGCTGAGCTCTATGATGGCTCACAAGGTGAGTGCTCCAGTTGAGGAGGGGAGGAGAGGGGAGGAGAGGTGGGGAGGAAGGGAGAGGAGAGGGTAGCGGTGTTTGGTAGTCGATAAATGCACCCTGTGCACATTAGGCCGAGTTGAGACATGAGGGAAAGGTAATTATATTAAGTATTGAAAACTAGTTTAAAAAATGTGGCACTTGTTAGACACACACACACACACACACACACACACACACACACACACACACACACACACACACACACACACACACAAA